TGGGGACATTGGGGACATGGGGACATGGGGGACATTGGGGACACCTTGGGGACATTGGGGACACTGGGGACACCCTGGGGACATGGGGGCACCTTGGGGACATAGGGACACCTCAGGGACACCTTGGGGACATGCTGGGGACCCGCTGGGGACCTGCTGCAGACACAGGGACACCTTGGGGACACAAGAACACCTCTGAGGACATGTTGGGGACATGTTAGGGACCCATTGGGGTGACAAGGACACCTCAGGGACATGGGAACGTGTTGAGGAGCCCTTGGGGACACCTTGGGGACACCTTGGGGACACCTTGGGGACCTGTTGGGGACACAAGGACACCTTGGGGACACAGGAACACGTTGAGGAGCCCTTGGGGACCCCTTGGGGACACCTTGGGGACACAGGGACACCTTGGGGACACAGGAACACGTTGAGGAGCCTTAGGAGCACCTTGGGGACCCCTTGGGGACACCTTGGGGACCCACTGGGGACCCATTAGGGACACAGGGACACCTTGGGGACACAGGAACACATTGAGGAGCCCTTGGGGAGCCCTTGGGGACACCTTGGGGACCTGTTGGGGACATAGGGACACCTTGGGGACACAGGAACACATTGAGGAGCCCTTGGGGAGCCCTTGGGGACACCTTGGGGACCCGCTGGGGACATAGGGACACCTTGGAGACACAGGAACACATTGAGGAGCCCTTGGGGAGCCCTTGGGGACCCCTTGGGGACACAGGGACACCTTGGGGACACCTTGGGGACCCGTTGGGGACCCGCGCGCACCTGTCCCGTGAGGAAGACCAGGATGTCCCCGGGCGGCTGCGTCGCGTGGATCTGCAGCACCGACACCACGCACGCCGTCAGGTAGTCGGCCTCGGGCGCCTGGGGACAGCGGGGGACAGCGGGGACGTCGGGGACACGCGGGGACATTGGGGACATTGGGGCCATGGGGGACACGGGGGGACATGGGGACATCAGGGCCACGCGGGGACATTGGGGCCATGGGGACATCAGGGACGTGGGGGACACTGGGGACATGGGGACATTGGGGACATGTGGGGACATGTGGGGACATCGGGGACATTGGGGACACTGGGGATGTTGGGGACACGCGGGGACACCGGTGGCAGGACTTTGCCCAGGGCCACCACGACCCCCACGTCCCCCCATGTCCCCAGTGTCCCCCCATGTCCCCAGTGTCCCCAGTGTCACCCCATGTCCCCCCACAGCCCCCGTGTCCCCCC